TAGCTCAACAGCAACAGCAGCAACAAATGGCTGGAGGTGCAAGCCATTTCTCTAAACTAATTAATTTTATACTGATTTTCTCAAACCTTATGTTAAACTTTTGTAAAAATTAACTTTATTCAGTGAATTTAATTACGAAATTCATCCATTTTCTAGATACTAAACCAGACAATAGCTGTGACATAGCATAGGGCACCGGTATTATATTTCTCCTGTAATTTATTTATTGCAATCATTAATTATAAAATTGTTTCAAAGACCTCGACATGAAAACAACAATTTTATCACTACTTGTATTGTGTGCCTTCAATGGTGTCAAACCGGAAGGACTGTTGGGTACCCAAGGACTGGGCGGTGGTGTTAGCACATTGCTCAGTGGCCTCGCCAGCGGCCTAACCGGAGGCTCCAGTGCCCAACAGCAGCAGCAACAGACCGGGATCAGTGGTATAGGCAATGCCATGGCGTCCACTGGTGGCGGACTATTAGGCGGAGTGTTAGGCAGTGGTGTCAGCACTCTGTTAGACGGCGTTAACTACGGCCTAACTGGCGCTCAGAAAGGCATTGGCGGTATCGGAAGCTCCCTGGGAGGTAGTAGTGGACAGGGATCTGGTCTATTAGGTGGAGGGCTAGGTAGTGGTGTCAGCACTCTATTAGACGGCGTTAACTACGGTCTAACTGGCGCTCAAAAAGGCATTAGCGGTGTCGGCAGTTTCGGCACTTCCCTGGGAAGTAGTGGCGTTAGTGGTGGACAGGGATCTGGTCTATTAGGTGGAGGGCTAGGCAGTGGTGTCAGCACTCTATTAGATGGCGTTAACTACGGCCTAACCGGAGCCTCTAATGGTCTCAATAGCATCGGTGGTATCGGGAATGGCATCTCATCGACAGGTGGTGGTCTATTGGGCGGTGGTCTGGGCACCGGTGTCGGTGGTCTCTTGAATGGTGCCAACGGAGGTCTCACATCTGGCTCTAACGGTGTGTATGCCAATAACGCCGGCTATGGCTATGGACAGCAAGGTCTTTATGGCGTGAATGGAGTCAATGGATACAACGGATACGGCGGTGGCTATGGAGGGTACGGCGGGTCGAGCGCTGTGGCACTACAGCAACAACAGGCCATTCAACAGCAGCAGATCATACAACAACAGCAACAGCTAGTGGTTCAGCAACAGTACCAGCAGTACGTCCAACAGCAGCAACAGTACCTACAACAGGGCCACTACATCGAGGAGCAGATACAGTACCACCAGAACAAGTTGGTGGCGCTCAGGGCTCAGTACCAGAATATTCTGCAACAACAACAACAGATCTCCAGTCTAATCGCTGGTTGCAGCTCCGGTTTAAGTGGTGGTGGGGGGCTATTAGCTCAACAACAGCAACAGATATTAGGAGCCCAACAGCAACAGCAGCAACAGATAGCTGCCGGTATGGGAGGTGGGCGATCAGTAGGCTATGTCGGACCGGTAGCTCAACAGCAACAGCAGCAACAAATGGCTGGAGGTGCCGGTGCCCAACAGCAGCAACAGCAACAAATTGCTGGTGGTATTGGGGGTTTCGGGGGCGGATTAGCTCAGCAGCAGCAGCAACAACAACAACAAGCTGGAGGCCTGGGAGGTAATGTCAAATCACTTGATAATTGACAAATTGACAGATTTTTATATTTCTATTTGAATTTATAGGAATCGGTGGCATAGGAGGTGCTTTAGCTCAACAACAACAACAACAAATGGGAGGCGCGGGTGGACTGGCCGCCCAACAGCAGCAACAGCAACAGATAGGGGGCGCAGGGGGTGCCCTCGCACAGCAGCAACAACAGCAACAATTAGGCGCCGGTCTGGGTCTGGGAGGCTTTGGAGGTCTAGCCCAACAGCAGCAACAACAACAGGCCGGGATTGGTGGTATAGGGGGTATAGGTTCCCAACAACAGCAGCAACAACAGATGGCCGGCGTGGGAGGGCTCGCGGGTCTGCCAGCTCAGCAGCAACAACAGCAACAGTTGGCCGGTGGTGTGGGAGGTCTGGGCGCTCAGCAACAACAGCAACAGTTGGCCGCCGGTGTGGGAGGATTGGGAGGTCTCGGAGCTCAGCAACAAAAATCACTTGATAATTGACAAATTGACAGCTTTTTTATTTCTATTTGAAAAAGGTGCTTTAGCTCAACAACAACAGCAACAACTGGGAGGCGCGGGTGGACTGGCCGCCCAACAGCAGCAACAGCAACAGATAGGGGGTGCCCTCACACAACAACAGCAACAACAGCAACAATTAGGCGCCGGTCTGGGCCTGGGAGGCTTTGGAGGTCTAGCCCAACAGCAGCAGCAACAACAACAGGCCGGGATTGGTGGTATAGGGGGTATAGGTGCCCAACAACAGCAGCAACAACAGATGGCCGGCGTGGGAGGGCTCGCGGGTCTGCCGGCTCAGCAGCAACAACAGCAACAGTTGGCCGGCGGTGTGGGAGGTCTGGGCGCTCAGCAACAACAGCAGCAACAATTGGTGGGCGCCGCTGGCACCGCACCGGTGGCTCAGCAGCAACAGCAACAACAGGCCGCCGGAGGTTTAGGAGGCGCCCAACAGCAGCAACAACAACAGGCGACCGTCAGTGTGGCCGCCGACGGCTCTATAGGTGGCCAACAGCAGCAGCAACAGCAAGCCATCAGCAAGACCATTTAATTCACTTGTTTTAATTGTTTATAATTATAAATAGTATTTATAAAAAAAAGTTTATAAGTTATTAAAAGTTTATATATTTCAGTTATTTGCTTTAATAGTGCATTTAAATTATGATTAATTTAAAAGTAGAGTTTTATATTTAAATGGTTATATTGGTTGTAAAGTTTAATATAAATAATTTATTTTTAATTGATTTAAAACTTTTTTGTTAATTAGGGAGCGTTTGGGGGCAAAGTGTGTATTTGCTGAGTGTGTGCTGTACTGTATATATGAATGGCATAATACACGTCAAACACTCGGTTTCTATTGGGTTTCTATGGGAACGTAACAAATGTTTATGTCATTCAGTTGTCATATGTTTGGGGAAAGTGTGAGTGAGTGGCTCAAAGTGAGCCGGGATGCTAGTAGTTTATAATTACTTCATGTTTTATGGACTTACTGATAAATGAGCATGATACTGTATCCGCTAATTAGGTAGTGGTGCTATAAATTACTTATTACACCTACTGTTCCCGCGCGGGAATCCGGGAAACATTGGGAAGTGTTTGCAAAGGCAGTGCGTATCGAACGCTACGCATAACCATTGAGTCACAGAAACACCAAAAATAGCGTAAAATGAAAATCCAAAACAATATTTGAATCTAAATCTAGTGTTGATTTGCAGTATTGAGTAAACGCTAAGTCATTGAGACTTTTGCCACCGATTTAGCGCTTATTATAGTTAATAATCGCTTCAAATATATCATTAAAACTCAATTCAATGCGAAATGTGTGGACAATAGCAGTGAAAAGCAGTGGTAATCAAAACACTCATCAAATGCCATAAAAGTGTGAAATAATTGTTTTGTTTTGCACTCAAATTGAGACACAATTTCCTGAAGACATACTAATCATCTGAATCCGTGGTCACCACCGAAGACATGCTTCACAGACACTGCGAGACGTGTATAAAGCCGTCGACGTGTCGCTCGAAGTCCGCCAAACAGGCCGTCAATGGTGTGGCCGATGAGACACAAGCACTCAATGGACACACTGTGTGTCCACTGGTCTCCTGTGATAACCGGGACTGTCCTCAAGTGATGCACAAATGCAAACTCCAGGAGCACCTCATCATTTGTCACCACCAGAAGGTCTGTCCACCCATTCATATACCATCACTAATCTGTTCCCCTTTCACACAATGTCTACCATTCGTGTTATCAGTGATCTGTTCCCACATTATCTGTCATACCATTGATGTGATCACTAATCTGTTCCCATGTTATCTCACGCGTAGACCCAATGTCTGAATTGGTGTAACGGGTGCCCAGCGCTGGTGTACCGGAAGGACATGTCTCGCCATTTGTTGCACTGTTCAGCGAATGTGATTCACTGTACGGTTGAGTGGAACCGATGGCCGATCCACACCCGGGAGCGTCGCCTCACGAGTCAAATGTCACAACTGTTACCGCAGTCACTGAATGTCAATCATCTGGACGTCGCGCTCGCCCTCAGAGACCAGCGAATGCTGAGGCAGTTATGGACGGCTAAGAAGTGCACACAAAAGGCCTTCAAGAACTACCTGACCCTCAAATACCCGGCCGTTCCCTTAAAGGTAAACTTATGTCCAATGAGTGCTTTGATATGTATTGCTATAATTTGTTGTTTGCTTTATGGTGTCGTTCCCCTCCCCCGATGGACAGCCCTATCGAGGTCTACACTTAACGGACAAAACCAACACAAATGGAGACCAATCGCCGCATTCCTCGTCAGTGTCGCCGACCAATAGTCAGTCGACGAGAGCCCAGTCGCCGGAAGAGTCGGACGAGTCATCGGAGTCGAGCCCGTGGCTGACCAACCGTTCCCCTCCCGGCCTCCAGAGCTCCGTATGCGCTAAACTCCTGGACACCGGCCACCAGACACAGGCGCCCAACACTGGCATTAAATGCCACACAAATAAACTGGACTTTTCGGCGGCTGTGGAACCGTCTGACGAGTTGACCGCCAATAGCACTGTGACGTCGGGAACGATACCCATAGCGCCGGCACTACCGCAGTGTAACTCACTGTCGCTGGACATCAATGTGCGGACAATCGCCGCCTACCAGAAGAAGCCTAAACTGATGTACACATTCCGGTGCGCGCAGGAGTTCCGGCGCGACGAGTATGAGTGGCACTACAGGAACGTCCACAACGACATCCACGGCGGTATAGACGGCTGGATTGAGCACCGGTGCCCCCTTTGGCAGTATGGGTGCAATTTTGTGCACAGGCGCTGGACCCCCAAACCCGACGGCGCCTCCATTGTGTTCAACGAGTTGGTCGAGAATTTCGGTATTAAAATGCCTGAAACCGAGGCCGACGTCTACAGCGATAGTCAAGCGATCAGTATTTCTTTACTGCCATTTGAGGTATGATTTGATTATCATTTGATTTATGCGTTGAATGCGAAGTCTATTTATAATCATAAATAGTATTTGAAATATGCTTTCATTTCAATGAAAGTCTTATCGTTTTGATCGTCAAAATCTTTTCAAAGATATTTTACTTATGATATGAATGCGTGTATTGAATAGTTATCGATATTTTTGGTGTGTATTTATTTATATTTGCTTTTTGACCCAAATTTTTAGTTTTTAATAAGTTTTTGACGACATTTTATTTCGCGCGAATACTTTTTAAGTGTTTATTTGCTTTATAATAATGAGTTGTTTTTTACTCATTTATGTCTCATCCGTGGTATGACTCGTGGAGCAGATTCTGCAGAACATATGCCAGCATTTGGACAGCTTTTCGCTGAACAACCTCTCGTTGACGTCGAAACGGCTGCGAGACGTCTGTCGCACGTTTCTGGACACCAGAGGTCTGGTGTCACTCCAGTGGCAGCGAAGTGTCAATGAGAATGGAAAGTACTCGTGGGACGTCGGATATAAGGTAACAGTGCCCCCATACCCGCTGCCCCTACATTCCATGTTAACCACTGTTTATTGACTGATGTATTTTGTTGATAATAATTGTCAGTTTTGCGTGATTTGTGTGCTTTTTATTAGTTGTCAATCTCTTGTTAAGACATATTTTCAAGTTTATGTGTATTTTGTGTTTTTCATATCTATTTATAGGAATTTTTTAGATTAAATATTTTGATAGAATTTTTTACTGTTGACTTGTTTTT